TTCGTCATCCCATTGACTCGATTTTTTCACCCACGAAAAATCTATGACTAGATTGTTCCAAAAATGTTGTTCGATTTTCAAAAAAAAGTGTTGATCACGAAGTTTTAAAAATTGAACCGAACTGACGGCCATGATTTTTTCTTCATTAAAAATTCGATCTCCATGATTAAACCTAGGTAATTTAGATGATTAGAAAGCAATAAACCTCACAATCATGTAATTGTGAATTTTTTTTGAAAATTGATATTTATGTATTTTTTTATCTAATTGGCCCAACTTTAACAGGGCATAAATTTTCCGTCCAACATCCTATTGACTTGATTGTTGCATCTATGGAAAATCTATGACCCGATTATTTCAAAATGCGATTCGATTTACAAAAAAAAAAACGCGAGGATTGTGAATTTCAAAAACTTGGATCAAACGGACAGTCATGATATTTTCTTCGTTAAAAATCCGTTCGCTGTGATTGAATATAATTGTTGACACCTCTTATTTTTTCTTAATAAATAAAAAATTTAAATAGGAAAAATGCAAAAAAAATATAGCAAAACGAAAATATAAAAATAGTAAAAATTACTGAAATATATGCTCGGCCGAGAAAGGAAACGAGAGGGGGAGGATGGTGATGAAAGATCTCATGTGCTGAAGATGGAAATCACTGAAATTCTCTAGAGAAAATATACCAACTTTTTATTAATATCTTCAATCTAAATTTTGAGGCGAACTTTGACTTTTTCTTAACTCAAAAGACATGAAACTCTCGTAATTTTTTAAATGATGACACGTATATTTGCATGTGATTTTTTTCATAATTTTTCGAAATTTGAATAATACTTTAAGTTTTGATGAGAAAAATACATGCGGTTTTTGTTTAAATCGATGCCATTATAAGACTTGTATTGATGTTTCTAGCAAAAAAAAAAGACTTGTATTGATGTGATACCTCTTTTTGAGATGGACACCTTCTACCCTAGTTTTTGCAGCACCTTCCGAATTAGCTAGGTCACCTAAGTTCTAGAACAGAAGATCGTGGGTATAAATGGGAAAAAATCGATAAATGATCGATAAAAGAGTGCATATTTTACAATAGAATTAAAACTTCATACCAAAATATATAAGAACTGCCACCATCACCATCTTCAGATTTATCTAGACTCTCAACAAGCTACTTACTATTAATGGTGATAAATTTGAATATTAGACTTGGAGCGGAAGGATTAGAAAAAAATAAGAAAGATAAGTTTATCTCTCGAACTCCTCTATAAAAAAAAAACAAAAGAATAATCTTTGTTCCTTGTTTTTTAAATTTTTATATGAGGCAAATTTTGACAGATGCCGCTCTGCTGAAGCGGCAGAAGAAGGAAATTGAAGAGTTTCAAGCCAAAGTACAAGTTTATTGATTTATCATAACTAAGATGGATAAGAAAATCATATGCACTTATTTGCAATGATGAATTTGGGAATCTATCTTCTGATGTTACCATACCGATTTTCTTAGGGCTCACTTTCCGAGCAAGCATTTAGAAGAGATCATAAACTTGCGGAATGCATGACTGCAGATTTAGTGTTGCTGCTTATATTGTATTATGTTTGATGGTCAATTGTTCATCTTCGCTTATAAAAACAACAAAATCATGCATTTTGAAACCTCTTGGAAAATGTTGATTATCTATTCATTCAAGATGTGGTTTCCTATAAATAAGTATGAGAAAACCCTATCTAACCCCGATGTTATTGAACTTATTTGACAAATTGTGCTAGTTTCAATTCTAGATTTGGTTGGTCATCTTTCCCCTAGGTGGTGATGTTGGTCTTGTCGAATAATCAATGTTAATCGGTGTGTTAGACCTAACAGGAATATTCACATTGGGCGGTAGTAATGGAGCCACTACTCTTACACTTTTCACATTTAGCAATTGATCAGCCTGTCGACCAGTTTGATTTGCCAAATGTTGTTACCAAATTAGTTATTTTGACCAACATATGGCTCAAAAAATGGACAGGACTAAGAACTTACCTTGCTACACTGGATTTGTTTGTAGTGGTTGATTGAATGAACTTGGCCACGATAGAGCATCATTCACAGCATTGATGACGATCGGCTTGATCATGTCGAATATATGACTCACAATGTAGTTAGCCATATCATTCTGCTACTTTTTTAACATTCTTCTCATGGTTGACACCATCGACTTGATCGTGTCGAATATATGACTCACAATGTAGTTGGTCATATCATTCTGTTGATTTTTGAACATTCTTCTCATAATTGACACCATGTTGGAATTTGGAGTAACATCCCTTAATTTCTCTTCAGTGTGATGCATCGGCAGATCAACTTTCTCAAGTCAATTATCTTCTGCGACTCTCCCAGCGACTGAATTATCGAAATGTGTGGCCGTCTCAATACTAGTTTTGTGGTAATGAGTTGTTGCCAACGGCATTGTAGGACTCTTGTTGATTTGCAGTTCTTGCCAGGGTCCTTTGTTAATTTTGGACAGGAAAGTAATTGACAAAAATTTAAAAATACGAAAAGTGGAGGCAATCGCGGCTAGCAATTTGAATTGCAACAAAGTAAAAGATAAAGATTAAAATAAAATTTTACCAAATTTGAAAAGATAATTTACTAATCCTATCTTCAGAGCAAATAACTTCCTAATCCTATTTATGGTCACAAGAAGTCACAAAATATTAAAATAGAGACAATATACATAACCACCCAGCAGTTACATTTTTGTGTTGATCACCCACTGTTCATGACTTCCTTTTCGAGTTGTCGATGCTTTTCAAGTTGTTGATTATCTTTTTCATCGATGAAATAGTGGACTTTTATCGACTTCTGTCACTTGTTGATTATAATCAAAAGTTGATCATTTTGGGGTGCTAACGATATTTATTTTTTGTATTTATTGTATATGATCTTCTAAACACATAATGGTGGTCCCATAACATTAATATCACCATCCTTTGATATCCAAACGTACTACGCAATATGGGAACAGAGAGCAAAAATCCGACATCTTCACTTTGGAAGATTGCTAAGAAGGCTAAGTGCAAACCTGTTAGCATATTTAGTTGGATCCACCTCACTCAAAAGTTTAAGTTAATAATTTTTTGGCCAACTAAGATATATCAACTATCATATCAATTCTCCATTGTCGGACTTTTCAAACATAACTCACATATTCATCTCAACAATTTCCTCTCACGTACGAACTTAGTGTTAGGTCTGTTTCCTCTAAATTTAGGTATCCTTCTACATCAACATGTCACAACTTGAATTTTCAACACCCGCTTTCATCCTTGGTCACTTTCTCCAGATCGAACCATGAAAACTATCATCAGGACTGAGTTGCTACACCACAATCTCCACCTTCACTCTAGGTCTCTTTCGCCAGACCAAACCCTGAAGGCTGTCCAAAATTCGTGTTGTTCAAATTCCTTTCTTAAGATATTCATCAAACACCAATGCACATTGAGAGTGGGCTATCAGTCAACCATCAATAGGAGTGTCAATGGGTCGGGTCGGGTCGCGTTTTCATGATACCTGACCCGATCCGAAACAATGAATATATGTGTTTGGCCCGACCCGAAACAAGACCCGAACATGATATAGCCGCACAATCGGGTCATGTTTAGGTCGGGTCGGGTTCGTGTTTAGAGGTTTGCTATCCTCTTGAAAGAATTGTTCCTCACATTTCATGCACGACCGTACTGTTAAATTTGTTCCCAAATGTGGTACTTTTGCATCATTTGTCTGTTAGGGTGCAGTCCTCAACTCTGCTTTTATATTTACTTTCCAGCTCGAAAAGAGATGTTGTCTCGAGAGATTTTGGTCCTTCATTCCGGCAGATGTTTCGTAACATGAAGTAAAGCAGCATTCCGAGTTCGATTTGGCAAAAAAAATCAAACGAAGGCAACACGAGTACACATTCAATTCAATTGCAAGAGAAACCATGCATTCGTTGGATTTCATTCGAGCTATTTCACTACAGCACTTCATACAATGAGTAATCCAGGACAAAAGCCTAAACTGAAGAAATACAATAAATGCCACTGTAAGAGGAGAATCACAGCATCAAAGAAAACATACGTGGTGAGCATTGGCAATAATGTTGCCAATTTGCAAGAGTTACTACCACCAATGATGAACAAGAACTCCACTCTGTCTCAGGGATGTGAAAAGGTCCAAGCATTGCCCATATGTTTTCTCGTACTTGGAACTTCTCTCACCGGGACAACATCTCTGCTATCTGTTGTAATGGCACTCGAGAAATAGTTCATCGATCAAACAGATAGGCCCGGTTTCGAATAGCCTCGGAATCAAATCGAACTCGGTCCCCTCCACATCCATCTTCATCACCACGAAATCCTTCTCTGTAACCGTGCTTTTCAACCATTCCGCGAAATCGAATCCCTGAATCTTAGCCACCTCCCCATCGCTCGAGGAGTGAACCGGCTGAATCCTGCCCATCCCTTTACCTTTGTCCTCCGATTTCTGACCCGGGTCTCAGTTTATTTCGAAGGACAGAGTCTCATTCTTCACCCACGCAGCACATGACAGCAAAGTGACATGCTTCTTCGACTTGTATTCCTCATAAAAATGCTAATCGGCCTCGATAGCAGACACTTCGAAGGTCTTGCTCTGTTTCGGGTATTGTTTTCTAAACCAACTAACTATACTAGAGCCGTAACTCCCCCCGCCGTGGCGCAGGGGGCTCGCGACGGTGGAGGGTCAGTGCTTTAATTCATATTTTTGTTTAGGGGTTGGTTTGACCCCTAAACAAAAATATCATTGACATAATTCATATTTGCAAGAAACATTTCGTCAAACACCGAAACAAACGAAACAAACGAAGCCAACAAACGAACATCGTCAAACTCTCACCAGCACAGAAAAGCGAAGGCGACAGGTAGGAGCAGGGCCTGGAAGCCGACGCCGGTGTTGAGGTTGTGGAAGGCGGCGTAGTGGGGCCAGAGACACTAGTTTTCGCTAGAATTGCCGGAATCTCCGCAAATGAATGAAGCCAACGATCACTTTCCCCTCAGAATCTTGATCGCGAAACCGAGTCAGAGCCGACGGTGATTTTCCTTAGATCTCTTCATATCTGAACCGTGTCACTCCTCCTACGTTTTGGACAGGATGCACCCAAAATCATAAAGGCACCTAATGATCCTCTCTGTCGTAAAAAATGTAAGATGGAACAAAAGATAACAAGGTCGTTGCAGGGTCATCAGTTGACTCAGTAATTTTATCGAACAGTTGGTATGACACGCAAAACGGCTGATGCAAAATGAGATGAACACGCATACATAGAACACCTCGAAAGGCACAGTGAATCAACAGATGGGTTCCCCATTCTTCGACAAACAAAAGCAAAAAAAGCCAACTTGGAGCTGATCTAATCAAGTTCAACTCTGAAAAGAGAGTCAATCCAACACACCCAAGCACCATGCCGTTGAAGAAGCAGGAATACCGCAGATTCAAAGCTCGCCGGGGATTAATTGAAAGACGGCGATGCTCACCAGAAGAGAGAAATCGTCACTTGTGGGTGGGGCCAGGGGCAGCGGGTCAGGATGGTCAATCGTCGAGGAGCTTCCAGAGGCGAGACTTGACAAAGTCGTTGCGAGCTTTGGCGTGGGCTTGCTGAGAAGCGACGTTGGCGTAGGAGAGGTGGATGCCGGCCGCAATCAGGGAGGCGTCGGCGGCGAAGACGCCAATCGTCGCCGCCAGTTGCCTCCTCGTCGCACTACTCGATCGCCAGTTGCAGATCCGGAGCCCTGGAAGAAGATGATAGGGTTTCGGGTGGGCTTGGGAGCAAGAAGATCAAATGGATCTTGTTTGTTTCTGGTGGGCTTGTTTCAAGCATGCTCGGATAGATCCAAAATAAGCTGAAGCCTTGTTTTTACTGTTACCCAAACAAGTTAAGGCCCAACTCGACCCAATACAAAATTTTCCTGTTCGGGTCGAGTCGGGTAATGTTTGAGCGGGTTCTTTTGACACCCCTAACCATCAACTCTATATCATTTGTTTGGAGCACATAATAGAAATTTGATACCTTAATTCAGGAAGATCACCTAGAGGGAGCTTGAGTTTTAACCCGTCTACATACTTTGAGAGAATCCTAGGTCCAATTGGATATGTTGATGGGCTTGGACTTAGACTCAATCTTAACGATCTCCCTAGGCAAATGTATCGGACTTCTGCTACATACTCCCAACACAATTATCCAATCAACCTCTAGGTGTATAGCTCCTTGACAACAGACCGGAAATGAGGCGCTTAAGTATGTCGACGTTGAAATTGTGGAGTTGAAATCGCTGAAAATAATGATCAATTGATGTGCCATCTCATAAATTTTTCTCTAGACATACGAATTGTTTAATTAAAAGATGGTTCACCATCTTCAACCTTTTTGTTTTTTTATACCCGAAAAGAGCTATTCAAAACAGAGAGATTGGTAGATACACTAATGATAGGATGGCGATAGGATGATGACATTGAAAGTACGTGGAGAAGACTCAAGTCTCAACCCAAAATGAAGAGCAATTATTATATGTGGATCCCATCCGATTGGCTTCTCACATCATATGAGAAGTTTTTTCCAAAAACGTATGGATAAAAGTGAAGAGCTTCGAGAAATGAGAAAAGGAAGGATAACATAGCTTTTTATGACGTGCATAATGGACCCACGTCGATTTGGCTTGTCTCTATTAGGCTTTCATTGACAACTTCTGTTGAACAGATCGAATCCCAGATTCTTGATGGGCTCGAGGGTGGTCCACCAGCAAGAATCAATGTTTTTTCCATCAAATTCATACCAACTTGCTCTGTTGTCTCTACAGCAACAGAGACAGAGTGTGTTAGCATGATGCAGCATCACTACCTTTATTCTTCTAGCTCTCCTCAGCGAATAAGCCGTCGCGTGTGGGCATCGTGACCCAGCCATGCGAGATTGGTCTGAGATGGACACGATCTCGACCGCCGCTCGTGCAGGTAGTGACCTTCTTGAACGACACGACCCACACACATGCTCAGAAAGGTTCTACCGAACACGTGGACATGTGCGAGCCATAGACTTTTTGTCACAAGCACAGACATGTACAGGTCAGGGTACCTTCTTCTGATTGGCTAAAACAGACCACAAATCACGATTGAAATGACTGGATAATAAGGCCAATTCATGAAGCGACCGAGAGAGCCGATGGAGAGAAGACCGAAATCATCATTATTCCATGATAAAGTTCGAAACATAGGAGGAAAATTCAGGACAGAACACTCGGAAAAGGACACCCAAGAAGACGATACGAGCTTTCAACATAGAAAACTAAACACGACCGATTGAAACAGACAGAGTGCTAAACGCACTGCAACCATAAACTATTACTCAACGCAATAACAACCCCGGCGAATGCATTCGCTAGCTAGTAATTCCGGCCCGAGCAGGCGCCATGCAGGGCCTCGCCACCACTTCACCACCGGCCACCGCTGCATACTCCATTTCGTCTGCCGCCGCCTCCTCCCGGCAGCACTGCTTCGCTGCCGACTTCGTGGGTGTGCAGGCCGCCGGGCGCCATCTGCCGCCTTTCTTGTACGCCAGGTACACCAAGCATGCGCCGCCGGGCAGCGCCTGCTGCACCACCCTCTCTCGCGTGTAGCCCACCACGGCCGCCATGGCCCAGAGGTGGGCCCCGGTGGGGCCGCCGCCGCCGCCGCACGTGACCGCAACGGAGAACTCGGTGGGCCCGAAGCACCTCAGCACTCGCTCGACCAGCGCGTCAAACTTCACGGACTCGGGGTCGATCCCCATGGCCTCGTAGCTCGCGTAGCTGAACCCGTCCTCTGGGGTAACGTGCACGGTGGAGAGCGCTGCGCCCTCGATCCCGTTCATCGAGTACCCGCACGGGTCAAAGTCAAAGTCGCAGATCGTGTGGCCAGGAATGATCTCCGATATCCCGGACAGTTTCGTCATTTGCCTCGCCGAGTAATCGGGGTCCCCCGATCTTTTGAAGAACACGGACGCCTTGCTCTTGTCCAACCCCGTCATGCACATCTCCAGGGTGACCACGCCCGCCCGATCCTCCGCCGCCGACGGCGGCGAGGCGGAGCGGCGCGCGTCCGCCCCAGCCTTCACGGCGGAGTAAATGTGCCAGTTGCGGTTAGGGGCCCTCGGGTCGCCGATCACGTACGCCTCGGCGAACAGTCCCTCGAAGAAGCCGTTCAGGACCTCGACCTCGTCGGCAAAGTTACGGTATGGGGCGGGCTGGGCGTGGGGGAAGATGAAGCTGCCGCGCGAGTACTTGACCGAGTCGACGCCGAGCGAGAGCGACTCGGCGAGCTGGAGTGTAGGCTGGATTGAAGAGAGCAGCTTCGTGGTCCCGCACGTCTTGAGGATGATCTTGAGAGGGTAGACGAAGAGGCTCGACTCGGAGAGGACGTAGGAGTCGAGCTCGGCGCTGGAGAGCTGAGACACGATGGAGCAGCGAGCCGGCTCGAGGATGGAGTCGAGCTGGGCCCGGGTCAGGCGGCGGAGGCCGAGGCCGGAGGGGTCGGCGAAGATGGGCGGCGGGGAGAAGGTGATCTCGAGGCGCTTCTCGAAGCCCTCGAAGCCGATGGGCGAGCTAGGTGGTGGGTCGTTCCTGGGTTGGTCTAAAACAGCCATTTGTCTCTAGAGTATGAGCTTGAGGAAACAGTATCGGAAGCAGAGCAATTTCGCAGGGACAGACAGGAGCAGAGAGAGAGAGACAAAGAGAGGGAGAGAGGGGGGGAGGGGATGAATTCTACTCTACTGAACCAGCCATTAGCAAGAGGGCGTATCAGGATGGCTTCCTCAGGCACTGCAAAACATAAAAAGGAAAATGAAAAATCAAGAACAAGAACACAGACGACGTTATACAACCAAATGAAAAGGCCAAAGATTCGATCTTTTCCCGCGGGGGAGGGGATGAGGACAACGTACGTCGGAGTAAGCAGCAGATCGGAACTTCTCGATGCCACCGTTGGGACGGATGTCTTCAATGCAGTAGCCGAGAGGGACTTCATAGTGCAACGAATTCGTACTACTACTACTGCTGCTACTCTTTTTCCCACCTTTGGTCTCCATTAAAACATCCACGCTGCTCTCTGCAACTTTTCGAGAATCAGATTTACGCTCTGGTCAAGAGCGCGCAAGGTTCGCGTAAAAACACACGGGAAAATCTATAAATCTGACAAAAACAGAGTACCCGACGACGACGACGACAGCAAAAAAACACAACTCAGATTGATACATGGACTTACTTTTCCTTGGATCGAAGATAAAACTGCGCTTGATTTTCCTTTTCCGAGTATACCCAGAAGAACTGTTCCGACGCAGACGGTGAGAATGCAGGGTTCGGCAATGGGAAACGCTCGGTAACGCGAAAGCAGGAAGAAAAAGGAGCGGATGGATAGATAGTGCAGCAGGGCTTCCTTTTGGTTGGCGAAGATAGCGGCGAAAGAGAAGAATTTATAGGGCCAAGGCGAGTGGCAGTGTCGTAATATAGAGGGGGCAACGGAAGGCGTTTTGGTACTTTTCACCTTTAAAATCTCGGTAAGTCTACGAAGGTGCCAGTGCCGGTAGCGCTTTAAAATATTGTAAGGGGTCAGCAGTCAGCACACGCGGCGGCGTGCCCTTAGCAATTGGGACGTGGTAGATAATAGATTTTCTTTTCTAGGTGCTTTTGGGAAAATGAACATTAGATTAATGCACAAAAGCTACGTACACACACATTTGGTCAATAGGGTTTGAATTCCCCGAGGCCGAGGCGGCCAATGGCTACTGCCCGTTAGGTGGCGATAGTTGATGGATTGTATCTATTCGGCAGACCCATCAAATGGGTGGGGTCGGGATCATTAATGGCCCGATCCAGATTGATCCGTTTAACCTGTTTGGATCAATTTACGTGCAATACAAATCTATCAATATTGCTAAAACACTTTTATATTTGACCCAATTTAGGAAAACTCGTACCCAAACTGAGATAAAAGTGTGGAGCGAGCGAGTACAAGATCGAGTGAAAGCGAGAGAGAGTGAAGAGAGGGTCATAGAGATAAGTTTCTAAGTAAGTTGTGAACCCACTTAATAATTATATTATTTTGAGTTTTACTATTCTAAGCTCGTTGATAACCCATTTACTAAATATATTAATTCATATAACTACTCGGTTCAATAATTATGTGTTAAAAAATGAGTTTATGACCTATTTCGCACAGGTAAAGCTATCCATGTCATATAATATTCCCACAACTCGAAGTAGAAAAACACTCATTTCTATGTAATCCTCTCCCTATTTCTGTTACATTAAGCAGCTCAAACAACCTCCACCATGATCGGTCATTGTAGCTCGGCGCCTCCGTTGCACGCAGTCGCCATTGCTATCGAACGGTCAATCCTGGTCGCTCATCGCCGCCATTCGACCTCTCTCACTCTTTCCTTCAGTCACAACACAGAGCGAGGTCCATGAACTAAGGTGTTGAGGTCGTGAACCTCGAGTATAGTCGAAGGCGATCAACAACCTTAGATTTGAGGCCTCTAGGTGGTCGCCGACAACCTCCATGAATCGCAATTCTGATTTTAGGCTACTTTAGAAACTCTGATACTATCCCTGCCTCCCCTTTTTGCACGTCATTTATTAAATCAAACGGTGCAATAGGTATTACAATACTTAGACCAATCAGTAGCACATATATTATAACTCTATTACATTGCAAAGCAATAGCTATATTATAGTCTTATTTCATTACTGCAATCAAACGAGCTGTAAATTGCATATGCTTTTTGTAATTCTTCTTTGGAACATATCCAAAATGCATGATCACGATATTAATCATCCATCTAAATCCATTTCTAGAAAATTTCCGCCACCATGAATGCTTCAATAAGATAGGAGAAGACTATGGAGGCTCCACTTCCCTCTTTGTCTCTCAAAGCTCACTAGTTGGATCACTTATTGAAGCCGATGTGGCTCGCCGGAGGTTGAGTCAGCATGCTCAGTCAGCATGTACACATCAAAAAGACGTAGTTTAGCATGTACACTTGGATTTTTTAAATATTTTTTTTTTTTTCTTTCTTTTCTTTTTCTTTTCTTTCTTCTTCTTCTTCTACCTTGGGTAACCGCCGTGATGGAGGCCGGCTACCGCTGCCCGCGCGCGAGGCCGCCGCCGCGCCGGCGAGGCCGACCTCGCCGTGCCGGGTTGGCGATGGCGAGGCCGGCCTCGCCATGGCCGGGCAAGGCTCGACCTCGCCCAGATCAGGTGAGGTCGAGCCTCGCCGGCCGTGGCGAGGCCGGCCGTGGCGAGCCGGCCTCGCCGTCGCCAAACCCATGGCGGTGGGCGAGGTTGAGCCTCGCCGGCCGGGCGAGGCTCGACCTCGCCCGGCAAACCGGCGCGAGGTCAAGCCGCTCGCCCGTGGCGAGGCCGGCCTCGCCGTCGCCAAACCCAACGGCGAGGCCGGCCTCGCCACGGTGAGGCGAGGCTCGAGCCTCGCCCGTCCGGCGAGGTCAAGCCTCGCCGGCCATGGCGAGGCCGACCGCCGTCGCCAAACCCAACGACGGCGAGGCTCGGCCTCGCCACGCGGCGAGGCTCGACCTCGCCAAACCGGCGAAGTCGGGCGGAGGCTCGACCTCGCCGGCCATGGCGAGGCCGACCTCGCCGTCGCCAAACCCAGCGACGGCGAGGCCGGCCTCGCCACGGCCGGGCGAGGCTCGACCTCGCCCAAATCCGATGAGGTCGAGGCCAGGCGAGGCTCGACCTCGCCCGGCCATGGCGAGGCCGGCCTCACCGTCGCCAAACCCAGCGACGGCGAGGTTGGCCTCGCTGTCACTGAGGCCAGGCGACCGGCCGTGGCCGGCGGCCGGCCTCCGGTCACCGGAGGTGACCCAAGGTAGAAGAAGAAAGAAAAAGAAAAAAGGAAAAAAATTTCAAAAAAAATATTTAAAAAATCGATTTTTTTTAAAAAAATTCAAACTCGGTTTAAAATTTTAATTATAAAAGCCACGTATTAATTTGGTCGGAATTTCTCGCCGTTGGCACTTAAGTGATCGTTTTTCCTCCGATTTGGCACTTAAGTGAGCCGGCGAAAACTTTTGGCACTAAAGTGACCGCCGTACACAAGTTTTGGCACTTCTAGTGTTCTTCTCCCGATCTCCCCAGTGTTGCTCGAACTCCCCAACCCCCCACACCCCGCCTCCCCATATGGGTTAATTAAAACCTCTATTTGCCTTAAAAAAATGTACAAAGGCCAAAGCTAGTGGGTACCTATCTCGAGCTCCATCATCGAAATTTGGGTAATCATCAAAAGCTTATGAAATTAAGAAACTTCATATGAATCAAAGAGTCGCAGCATCGTGGAAGAGCTTGAAGAAACAAAATAAAAACGGAAATTTTCATAAACATTGCACACATATATGTATGTATAAGGGAATATCTCAAATGTTCACTCAAAAAATCTAAAGAAAAGCTAATGGAGCGGGTCATGGCATCTCGTTTGCTGTTGCGATAGGATTGCATTTCAATCATTGACCAAACCCATCTCTATCACTTTCCCACTCGACATGTGAGTGAGAGAAAGAGACTCGAGGGATTTTCATCTCGTACCCTTCTCTTTTCTTTTGTTTCCTTTTGGGTTGGGGAGATCACGATTTCTATGTTGCCAAAAAGGACAAAGAATTGTTAAATCTCTTATTTTCGCCACTTCCCAACACCAAGACAAAGATCTGCATCCTTCCGGGAAAGACGTCCCAAGCTTAACATCCAAGTTAAAGATAAGAGGAGAGGATTACAATACTATTTTCACACTGTAATGCATTAGAGACTCCAAGAAACTATAGTTTAAGCAAGAAAAAGCCAAGAGTGGTACAAGTGCTAGCACAACTACACCTGCTGTTAATGAATATTGCTTTTGGTTGCACTTGTTAGTATATTTTGACTATTGATACCCTAGCTTTTTGCCGATATTATTGCCGACCCTAGCTTTTTGTGAGGTCCTCATCCCAACAAAATCTAATCCTGAATACCCGTTAAGCTTCCTTAGTTTTATATTGATTAACCAATCATCTTCTGTGGCCCAAACGTAGATTAAAATCTGATAAAATAAGCAATCATGTTCTTGGCTGTACTAACCCCATTCAATGTCAATGCCATCCTCTTGGGCATGGACTCAGCACACACTGGACTCACTCGACCCAAAAAATTTAAAAAAAGGGAGCTCGACAATATCATTGGGGAATGATGAACAGAGTTCTATCAGATCCATCGCAAGTGGAGAAACGTTTTTAAATCATGCACCGTCGATTGATCTCATAATACATGTACAAAATCTGTTTTTTGTAGCTACTTTGTGTTGTAAATATTGTGCAATCGTACAGTTTTGTGGAACATTAGCTAAGAATATTTTGGTCTTCCGTGTGATCTTTGTACTCCATGGATTAGATCAATGTCTATACTTTGTGTTCATATGATAAAGCCAATTCTGAGTTAGGCTTCAGTCTGGCAACTTGATCTATCCTCGTCATATCCTTGTCAATGACATTCTCCAAATAATTTAGAGCTCTTTCTTGCGATGGGTCCCAAAATTTGGTGGAGAAGGAGAAGAGGGCAAAAAGAAGAAAGAAGAATAGAAAAAGGGATTAAATTTGTCAATGGAATTATCTGCGCATGCCCTTAGAAGAGACAAAGTGAACCCCACGATGGGGCATTCACATTGGATTTGCCTGAAAATTGCCATATCATAATCTAAGTTGAAGCTACAAGTATGTGTATCCTGATTTGTTTTTGAGAAATCAACATGATTAGCTTATTCTAATCTTGTCTTGACATGGAGCATCTGGCGACGAAAGTGTTCTTGGTGATGATATGAAAAAGAACGGTACTAAGTGGTGATGGTATATGCTGTCTGCTATAGGTGCCATCTGAGGAAGTTCATAGCTAAGGGTTTGAACATGTGGGGATTTTGCATATGGCGGAATCGGATTGTTCCGATGTTCACATCTAATTCTAGTGGCTGAATATTATTGCGTCCATTCTCAGCTTTTCAAGTGAAGATTTCCATCTATGTCATTATTGTTTTATTTAAAAACGTCGACCTCTCTTCTTCTTTTTCCTCAAAATGATCTTAAATATTAAAATTCTCCCAGTGTATCTTTTCAATCAACTTATTTCATTGAAGTGTTGAATTGGATGTTGAAGTGTCGAGTTGGACCATACGAGGACGCACATCATGTTCTCATCGGCCAACCAAGTAGGCACGACGAAAGAAATGCCGATAATGAATGAGAGAGAGAGAGATGTGTGTGTGTATGCGCTTGTGCATGAAGCAACAATGACCACCACACGTGCTGGTCACTATCATTGGGCTCTCGATCGCGCCGCTATCGGACAAGCAGTGGCCGGGGCCTGGCAACCCCCTTAGGCCATCCCCCACGTTTGTTGGCCCTTCCCGGTGATGGTGGGC